TGATTGTGAATTCAGTTGTTCATTCATCTCCAGCTTTCTCATCCATTCTGAGATGCCTGGTGGAACTTTCAATAGGTTTTTTCTGTTTTGTTTAACCTGAGTCAGTTTGTTGCTTGCACCACAATGGTTAGTTCTTATGCACATATTTATTTATTTATTTTGTAGAGACAGGATCTCACTGTGTTGCCCAGGGTGGTCTCAAATTCCTGGGCTCAAGCAGTCCTCCTGCCTTGGCCTCCCAAAGTGTTGGGATTACAGGCATGAATCACTGTGTCCAGCCAAGGTTAGTTCTTAAATCTTTCCAATAATAAAGTAAATTTGAAACATTAGCTTCAATTTCCAGCCCAAGTTTTCATGCAGAAAGGTCCTGGGGGATATGCTAGATGTACCATTCTCTGTGCTGGCCTTTTGGACAAAGAACAGGATGACCCTCAGATCTTTGCCTCTCTGCTTGGTCCAGAGCCAGCCTGGAAAGGGGAGGTGCTCAGAGAGGGCTGCTGATGGAAAGAGTAAAGGAGGGAAGGGAGAGAGTACAAAGAAGATTTCCATGTGAAGAAGAAAGCTCCTGAAGGCAGCTTATGTGTGGTGCATTTGAATTCCTAAGGCTCTTGGGCCTCTACCCAATGAATCCTGATTCCAGCAGCCTGGAACAGTTCCAACTCATTTTCCCTTTCTGATCTCACATCCTCCCATGTTTCCCAGGGATGGCACTGCCCAATATAGAAATCCTGAGTGCCATCCAGGACACTTCCCTTGATCTCTCTTCCCCAGCATCCAGCAGTCCTGGTGAGTCCACCTACTAAACATCTCTCAATCCATGTCTTGCCCCCATCCCCAGGGTTCTAGTTTATCCTCTCATCCATCTGCATTTCTCCCCAAGGCCCTGGATTACCATAAGATGTATCCTTGGGAGGCCAGGTAGTTGTCAGGGGCAGGCCCCCAGATGTCAGCTCCCCTCTGAGCAGCGAGACTGCTTGTCTGGATATCTCAGTCCGTAGGCAAGGGGCTGTAGACAGGTCTAGCCAACAATTGGAGCCCCAGAAATACCATGTCTGGCCTGAATCTCACTTGGAGCCAAGTTGGTACTAACCAGCTTGAAAAGAGGGAATATTTGTGTGTCCTTCTAGAGTCCCCATGGGTGCAGGGACTGAGTCAGGTTCATCTCTGCTCCCCCACTCTCACCCCACCCCGGTTCTAGCATGGGACATGGCCTGCCATCAGTGCTTAGAAAGTGTGGAATGACAGTCTGGGATCATTGCCTCAATCCTTTCTTGGCATCCCATCAAAAGTGAGACCTAAGCCTGCCTACCTATCCTACCTTGCACCCCCCATCCCTACCTCGCTCTCCAGGCTCCATCCACAAGACTCATTCATAGTTCTCTGAATGCGTGCCAACCCACCTCACCCACCATGCCATTGTACATGCTTTTCCCTCCACCCAAAGCTTTCCCTCAACCAGGTCAGCCTGAAGACCTCTCATGAATCCATCCTTCCTTTAAGGCTCAGGGAGTGCAAGTGCTGCCTCCTCTGGGAAGCCTTCTGGAACTGGCCTTGGGAGGCCTCCCTCCCTTGTGCTGTCTCCGTGCCTGCCCATGCAGAACTCTGTTTGCCACTTGGCATGGAGTGTTGTGAGTATGTGTCCCCCCACGAAGCAGTACCCCTGAAGGAACCAGGTTTGTTTCCTTCTGTACCTCCAGGGTCTAGCTGGTACCTAGCCCAGAGGGAATGCCAGGACATGGTAGTTCCTCTTCACTCATACCCACTTTTTGGAGGCAGATGATGCAGCTAGAGAGGTTGCAGGGCCTTGAATGCCAGGCTAAAGAGAGAGGCTTGGCTAGATTTGCATTGTTCAATGATACTGGTGGCTGGGACACCCTCATTTGGGGACTGGACAGTGATTTTTTTCAATTTTGGACCTCTTCCAGCCCAGAGGACAGGGATTAGTTCCTTAGCAGGAAGATAAAAGATGATCCTGAGCTCATGACTCCCTCCTCTCCTGGACTCCCTTTCCCCTTCTGCATTCACTCTCAAGTCCCAGAGTCCCTCTCTAAAGGCCTGGGATCTGGAATCCACCCCCACTACTCAAGGACCAAGTCCAAACCTCAATCCCCAGTTATGTAAGTGAATTATCTGCTGTCCCCAACCAGCGCCAGCCAGATCTCCTCCTCCTCCTAATTGATTTAATCTTCTCATACCAGAGAGTGGGGCCGGGTTTGGGGAGATGGTGTTGATCAGAAGCCAACACATCAGTGACGTAGACTCATTAATTACAGAGAATCTGGGTCATGGATTGGCTCTTAGTGGCTCTGATCCTCCTCCTCCTCCCTAGTCATTTGGGTCTATGAAAGGACATTTTCAGCAACTCCTCATTCCTCAAGCCCCTGTCCTACATATAGAGAAAGACAAGGGTCCCTAAGACCCTGTCTGTCTCTTAGATCCCCCTAACCCTTAGCTATGAACAGAACTTCCCTGCATTCCAGTTCTGAGTACAGGACATAGATAAACCTAATTCATTGAAAAATGAAGAGATGAACAAACTATTTAACTTTAGGCTGGGACGATACCTTAATTTACTTTCCACACCAAGCATGCCTCTACTTTGCAGCTTCCTGGATAGAGGATGCCCAGACCCTATTTGTACACCCTCAGGAATAGGGAGCTCACTGCCCTGGGATAGTCCTTCCCTTGTGTGATGACTCCACCTAGGAGAAAGTCCTTTTTCACATGGGGCTGGGATACCAGCCTGGTGACTTCCCCTCGGACCCAGCTCTGCTTCCGAGGACATAGGGCATGCCCCAGGACAGCCAGCCAGATCCTGGGACACAGTGGTTGCCACTACTGAGTTTGCTTTTCTCCAGGCTGAACACTTAAGGTTCTTTCACTGGTTCCTCAATTGTTGGACTTTAGAGATTACTCCCTACTGTATCTCCTATGTGCATATCTTAGTTCATTTTTGTGCTACTATAACAGAATACCTGAGACTAGGCCATTTCTAAGGAACAGAGATTTATTTCTTACACTTCTGGAAGTCTAAGATTGAGGGGCCCACATCTGGTGAGGGCCTTTGTGCAGCGTGATCCCACGGCAGAGGGGAGAAGGGCAAGAGGGGGTGTGTGTGTGAGACAGAAAGAGAGATAGAGAAAGAGAGAGAGAGAGAGTGAGCAAGAGAGGGCTTGCTTTTATAACAAACCCACTTTTTCAATAATGAACCCATTTCCATGATAGCAATATTCATTCCTTCATGAGGGCAGAGCCCTTATGAACTAATCCCCTCTTAAAGGCCCTACCTCTCAACACTGTTTAATTCAGTTTCTAACACATGGACTTTGGGGGACACCATAGCAATGCACAAGCTTTGGATGGCATCATCTATTCAGAGGTGCAGAGCAGAGCACAGATTCCAGGGAAGTGTGAACAGCTCAGGGCAGGATAGAATCATCACTCTTTTTGGTCTTGTTATTAGATTTCCACTGATACAGCCTGAAATTGCCTGAGATCTTTGGGGGTGTTAACACACTTTGACTCAGCTTAAGCACAGAGTCAACTAACCTCCATCGTAACTTTTCTGGCACCAGCAATGGAAAGTTTCTGTGAAAAAGATATTAGGAACATCTCCATGTCCCCCCAACAAATAATTCTCTCCACCTACTCTGACATTTGTCTTTCCAGGCAATGATGCAATTATTCATCTACTTGTTTGCCCATGCAACTACCCAACCACATATATATGCAGGTTTGTTACATAGACAAACATGTGCCATGATGGTTTGTTGCAACCTATCACTTAGGTATTATGCACCATATGCATTAGCTATTTATCTTGATGCTCTCTGTCCCCTCACCCTCTGACAGGTCCCAGTATGTGTTGTTGCCCTCCCTGTGTCCATGTGTTCTCATTGTCCAGCTCCCACTTATAAGTGAGAACATGCATTAACCAACTATATATTAACCCATACATTTACCAGCCCAACTAGCCGCCCACATTCCCTTCCATTCATCTGTCCATAGAACATTCATTCACCTGTCCAACTACCCACTCATCCACAAATCCACTTACACTTAATCAATTTTCTACCCTCCTATCCGATGATATACTTCCCTATTATTCATCCATCCATTCACCCACCCACTTACTTACCCACATATTCATCCCTTCATCTACCCTCTCTCCCAATCACCCATACACCTGTATTCATCATCCATCCATCCATCCATCCATCCATCCATCCATCCATCATCCGATTTTTTTTTTTTTTGAGACGGAGTTTTGCTCTTGTTGCTCAAGCTGGAGTGCAAAGGCATGATCTCAGCTAACTGCAACCTCCGCCTCCCGGGTTCAAGTGATTCTCTTGCCTCAGCCTCTCAAGTAGCTGGGATTACAGGCATGCACCACCACATCTGGCTAATTTTTTTGTAGTTTTAGTAGACACAAGGTTTCATCATGTTGGCCAGGCTGGTCTCGAGCTCCTGAACACAGGTGATCCACCCACCTTGGTCTCCCACAGTGCTGTGATTACAGACATGAGCCATCATGCCCAGCCCATCCATCCATTTTTTTACTGAGATTCTATGGCGTGTCAAATCTTGTGTTGAGTATTTTGTGCGTGCGCTCTCTCTCTCTGCCCTTCCTTTTCTTAGGGGAAGGAATAGGAGCAGATAAAGCAAATGGTGTGAAATACTATAAAATAGGAACAAAGAAAATGCTTGGGAGATTTGGAGGAGAAAGTGGCTTCTGGATGAGGTTATGGTTGCCTTCCTGTCAGGGGAGACATTTGGTTTGGGCCTTGATAAAACAGCAGTATTTGGATATACCCGAGTACATTGGAAGTCATTCCAAGTAGAAGAAGCAAAACATCAAAGACAAGGTGCCTAGAGAGCAGCATTCATATCTTATGCTTTATATCCCTCCTAAAGTGCCTAGTAGAGAACTGGGCACACTTCAGCAACCTAATACATACTTGCTGATTCATATTGTCTCTCTCTCTCTCCTTCTCTGACAGGGGCACCCCCAACACTTAATTAAGGTGAGAATTCACTCTTTCTCTTTAAAAGATTCAAGAGTTGCCTTATAGATCGCCTTGTGCAAGTCACAAAACCTTTCTGGGATTCTCTGAGTTTGGGGTTGATTTTCTGTCTCTATCAGGTGATCCTTTCCCCATAATCTTAATTACTTATGCCATGCTCTCTGTTCTCTTCAGAGAGATTAGCATTTACACATATGTTTAATGTTATTTTCTTTTGCTAACACCAATTAATGTAATCCTATCTGTTTTTAACTTCCTTAGCCTCGATCTTCAGGCAAGAAAGTCTGTGATATGAATGAAGGGGTAAGTTTATGGAAATAGCATTGGGGTAGAAGCCAGGAGCCATGAATTCAAGCCAGCTTTGCCACAAGCTTGCTGTGTGACCTTGGGCAAGTCCCTTTCCCTCTCTGTTTTAAAGGTTTTCCACTATAGCACATTAGCACTGAACTCAGCATCTGATATTGTCTAGTCCAATATACATCTTGCAAATGGAAAAACAGGCTCAGAAAGAAAGGGCACATGACCTGTTCTAGATCATATCTGGATTAGTGGCAAAGCTAGGACTAAACTAAACTTCCTGACTTCCATTTTAGGGATTTCTCTACCCAACCACCACATTTCAGCCTTCATTCACAGCCTCTGTATATCTCAGAGACAGCTTCATCTCCCATTTTCATTCCCTAGGAAGAAACGTGTGAATCTTCCAAGTGTTCTGTCTGTTTTACTGATTCATGCCTGGGTGGGGGCTGGGCAGGCAGTATTTAAGAGCAAGCATTCCCAGCCTGACGGAGTTAATTATGTTCATCAGGAAGGGAGAAGAGAAAGGAACAAGGCGCTCTGGTTATCTACTGGGCTTTAATCAAATTGAGAAGAGAGGAAATCCATCACCCAGAGGCTGAGGGAGGTGGAGACCTTGGCTTCCGCTGGCTCCGCGTCCTGTAATGGGTTGGGCGCTGTCCAAGGTGCTGACATCTTCACTTACTGCTCTGAGTTGCTGGGAGGAGCTGGGAGAGGCCCCCTCCTGGCCAAGGGACATCAGCTCTTAGAAGAGGGTCCAGAAAAGACTTAGAGAGGGTGTGGGCATGCTGGGAGAGGCTCGAGTTCCTACTCTGCCTCCTGAACCTTTTTTTTCCCGTATATTTGTCTATCTGCTTTAAGAAAAATATTTCTTCTTATGGCCAGAGTCCTGGGTTGGGATAGAGGGAGGGAATACACAGACTTCTTGCTGTCAGGGAGAGGGGCCCGAGCCTGAGGGTGGAGGTACAGTCCTTGAGGACTTCCATATCTTTTTTTTTTTTTTTGAGTTAGTATTGCTCTGTCGCCAGGCTGGAGTGCAGTGGCGCAATCTCAGCTCACTGCAACCACTGCATCCCGTGTTTAAGCGATTCCCCTGCCTCAGCCTCCCGAGTAGCTGGGACTACAGGCGCACACCACCACGCCTGTCTAATTTTTTGTATTGTAGTAGAGATGGGGTTTCACCATGTTGGCCACGATGGTCTCAATCTCCTGACTTCAGGTGATCTGCCCCCTTCAGCCTCTCAAAGTGCTGGGATTACAGGCGTGAGACACCGCGCCCAGCCGAGGACTTCCATATCTTAAAGGGGAGATGTGGCTTCTGCTTTTGTGAAATCGTTAGTCCAATGGCAGAGACATATACTTGCCTTTGGGAGTTTGTTGATCTGATAGAGGAACATTACTGTACCTCTAACTCTACTCAAGTATGATACAAGGGAACATTGGCCCATGTCTACATGGAGCCTCCAGTCTGATGGAGAAGACATGGTCTTCTACTGTAAAATTCCCAGTCTCATTGAGGAGCCAAACTCTTGATTCAGGGGGAAATCTCACATATAATCAGGGAGACAGGATAGACAGATAAGTTACAGGGTCTGTACAATAACCAACCAAGGAACTCATATCTTCACATTTCACACTCAAATTAGGTTGTTGGTGTTAGAGATTTAGTGTCAACCATGGAAAGCCTCCTGGAAGAGGTACATTTGAGTTGGGTTAACGGGAAAGGAAGGGACATGTGTCTCTAGACCTTGGGTCACGTGAGAACCATAACCATGTCTTCCCATTTTTTATATTCCCTTTGAAATAAGTATAAGCCTCGTCACAGTGAAGACTCTTCCTTAATAAACAACAACCAGCAGGTAGAGAGTAATGTACCTCTTTGGTAGGCTGGGAGACAGCAGAGTGTGGATGGGCTCAGAATTAGGGAGGAGGGTTAGTTGGGACAGAAAGCCTGAGGCTGGGGTGGGAGAATGATGGTGGAATGACAGGATAGGCAGAAGGAACAGCCCAATGTGTGTCCAGGCCACTGAACCACAGCATTTGGAGTAACTCCCTTGTATTTCTGGAGCTGGTGAGAGACACTTTATTGAATCTTGAATTGTTAAAGCTAGAGACCATTACATTATAAAATCATAGGCTTCTCAGCTTCTAGAGCTACACAATTATGGAAAGTTCTAGTATTAAAATCATAGCATCTTAGCAGGGAAGAATCACAGAAATTATAGAACTGTAAAATATTAGAGCCAGAGAGCCAAAACTCCATATTAGACAATTTTAAAATCCAAGAATCTCAGTGTGAAAAAGGAAAAAGAGAACTCAACAATTTATTGATCCTCTCTATTTGCACTGGTTATGATGTTAGGAGCACTCTCATATGTTATCCCATTTAATTCCTACCACAAGTCTTATGTCATTCAGTCCCATACCTGTTCAAACCTTTGTCAGTAATACTGCATTATCAAACACAAGCTTGCATAACCTTTATGACATGGGAGTCATCACATCTGGGCATAGCTCTGCCCTCTGCCAAATGGTGCTAGAAAATTCTCCCTTACGTAAGTTGCACTCTATCTCCCTGTCGTGCTCCCACACCGGTCCAGTTCATGTCCTCTGAGCTACACCGAGTAAGTCTAATCTCCTGCTCACATGACAGCTTTTCAGATGTCTAAAGACAGCCCTTATTTCTTTCTTCTCTAGGCTAAGCTGGCTTGTTGATCATGTAGCTAGAAATGGGACAGCAAATGAAAGAATATTTGAGCTTAAGAGGCCCTTAGAGGTCACCTTGTCTGGATACTTCCTTTTACTGCTAGGCAATATGGCTTTATAGTCAGGATCCTGGACCTCATGTTTCTGGGCCTCTTTATTTTATCCCTAAAATAAAGATAATAGTAATACTGCCATAACAGAGGTGTTGTGAAGATTGAATGAGATGATTCAAGGGAAGCTCTTAGAAGAGCGCTGGGCACACAGTAAACAGCCAATAAATATTAGCTGTAATCACTGGAGGCCCAGAGGGGGAAGGGACTTGCTCAAGATCACACAGCAACTCAGAGGCAGAGCTGGGGTTAGACCAAGGACACCTGCCTCCCAGCCTGGGCCCTTTCCCATTCCACTCTTCCCTCTGTCTTCCTCAGAAAAAGAAAATAGTCCCAGAGGGGACTAGGATACTTCTCACTGAATCATTTAGGATGCAAGGAAGAGGCCACCTGCTTTAGAGTGGCTTAAAATTTTTGTTTCTTAATGAGGCCAGAAGAAGGTGGTACCAGGATTGGTCTGCTGATTCAACAATGTCTTTGATGACCCAGACATTTCCCATTCTGAGCCTTGAGGGTGACTACCCCTGTGATTGCAAGAAGACTGAGTGCCATCAGGAACCATGTCCTCCCAAGCAGGGAGAAAGGGCATGGTAACAAAAAGGGTGTTCTCCTTTTACATCATCCTCTTATCCAGGAGAGAAGCTTTCCCAGCAGACTATCCCCAAACATGTCATTGACTAAGACGAGGTCACATGTCTACTCTTGGACCACTCTCTGGCAAAGGGGAAGGCATTTCCATTGCGGCCTTGGATCATCCCTTGGCTGAGCACCTTGCTATCAGAATGAAGAAGAGAGCATTTGCCATGGGAAGGCAACCAATACCACCTGCCATACTCACCTTCTGTTTTCTCTCTGGATTGCCCTCCTACCTCCTCTCCACCTCTGCCAGGAAGTCTTCCCTAGTTGCCAGGCCCTTGTCTAGGACACCCTCTTCTAATGTAATTGAACGTTCTTTAATTCAAGTTACATTTCACTTTGCCAAAGATCTCTTACCTTATCATGTCCAGATCTTGTCTTCTCAACCAGGCTGTGATAGGTCATTGCAAGAGTTATAGGAGCGACTAATGAATAAGAACCTATTGTGGGTCAGGCACTGGTCTGGGTGCTTGTTGTAACCAGCTTCCAAATGGCTCCCAATGATCCATACCCCCTGGTATTCATGCCCTTTTGTATTCCCCTCCCACATTATACCAGGGTTTGTCTATGTGACCAAGAGAATATGGCAAGTTATGGTATGTTAATTCCAAGATTAAATCATAAAAGACACATGGAATCAAAGCTTTTGGTCAACTGCCAACAGGGTACAGAAGCCCAACAACAATCATCGAATGAGCTTGGAAGTGGATCCTCTCACTCCAGTCAAGCCTTCTGATGACTGCAGCCCTGGCTGATGCTTGACTACAGCTTCATTAGAAATCCTCATGAAGATCCAGCACCTTCCAGTTAGCCCATCTGTGGGTTCTTGACCTTCAGAAATTCTATGAAATAATAAATATTTGTTATTTTAAGTTGCTAAACTTTGTGGAAATGTGTTTTTTAGTTTTGGGGTTTTTTTTTGAGGCAGCGCCTTGCTCTGTTACCCAGACTGGAATGCAGTGGTACAATCACTGCTCACTGCAGTCTTGACTTCCTGGGCTCAAGCAATCCTCCCACCTAAACCTCACAAGGAGCTGAGACTACAGGTGTGGGTGCTACCACACCTGACTAAGTTTCTTTTTTGTATTATTTTTTGGAGAGATGGGGGTCTCTCTATGCTGCCCAGGCTGGTCTCAAACTCTGGGGCTCAAGTGATCTTCCTGCCTCAGCCTCCCAAATGGCTGGGATCACAGGTGTGAGCCACTGTGTCAGTCAGGAAATTTATTACTCAGTAGTAGATTACTATATTGCTACTTTATCACATTAAATCCTCTCAACAATTCTGATGGGCGAAACTTATTTCTCCCTTTTATAGATGAGAAAACCAAGGCTCAGATGAGTGCAGTGACTTCCCATGCCTGGTAAGTGGCAGTGCTGGGATTGGCCCTCCTGTCTATTGGATTCCAATGCAGAGGGACCTGGGTTCTGTTTTCCCAGCTGAAATGTCCCCAGCTGCAGGATGAAGGCTGAGGAAATGGGGACATAAAAAGGAAGCCTCTTTCTCTGATGTGTTTTCTCTCTTCCCCCCTTTTTTTCATCCCAACCACATTAGTTAGTACTTACTACATCTATTGTGTATATGTGATTCAGGGACAAGTAGGTTTATTAGGAACAACATGGGAGTCTTAGGAGGGGGATACCTGGGCTCTTGAGTGACCTTGGGCAAGTTTCTGCACTTTTCTGGGCCTCCGTTTCTTTACCTACTACATGGCAATAATAATCCCTTTCCTGACTTCTTCACCAGGAAACCATGAGGATGGGGTATAAAAGGACTGTGTAAAATGTGAAATGTAGTGAACATGAAAAAGTTTGTTTGGACTAAGGAGCGCCCCTGACCTAGGGCTCAGACCTGTACAGCCACCTCTGTACAGAGGTGAGGGCTCCCTCTCCTCTCTCACCTGGGGCTAGGTTCAGGAGATGGACAACACTGAGTGGCATTGAGAGCGTCAACCCACTTCTTCAGCCTCACCCTCCCCATGCCTTCTCTCTTAAGCCATGCTACAGCCATACTAAACTAGTGGGAATACCCCAAGCCTGCCAGGAGGTTTCTGTCTACTTTGTGCAGTTTCTTCTGCCTTGACACCCTTCCCAACTTCTCCCCTTGGTGCGTTCCCACTCATCTTTCAAGACTCGCCTTAGATGTCCCACTTTTAGGATGCCTCTCCTGACCCGGGTACAGTCCTCCTACTTCTCTTGATTGTTGCATTCGCCTCCTGCCTGAGCTCTTGGCCTTCAGCTTCTCTTTCCCGCTCAAAGACCCCATGGTGCAACCAGTGACTTTTCCAACATACAAATCTTGTCATGTCACTCCCTGCTTAAAATAACTGGCCAATGGAATAATCCATCAATCAATGCTTCAGGGGTTCCTCCTTGCCCACAGGAAAGCGTCCACACCTTCGGCTGGATCTCCATGCTTGGTCCCTGCTGGTCTTTCCAGCCTCTGCTCTCTTCTCTCTCCTTATTGCCCTGCACATGCAGTGCCCTCCAGCCACATTGCTCTTGTCACTGTATCTTAGACACACCTCTCTCTATCTTTGCTCATCCTGTTGTTTTTCCTGCCCATTCCCACCTTGTCCACTTGAGGAAGTCCTGCCTAATCCTTAACACTAGGTCTGATATAACCTCTTGGAAGCCTTCCCTATTGGCCCCAGGAAGAGTCCTTGGCTTCCTCTTCTTCCCTCTCCTGTATGACTAACTACTCATGCTTTTGTTACTGTTTGTCAGCTTGTCTGTTTACACTGAGAGTTTGCTGAGTAGAGACTCTATCTGACACATGGTTGTGTCCCCAGCAGTGCCAGGAGAGGGGCACAGAGCAGACATGTAGGATATGTTGCTCATGTGAGTGGTTGAATGAATGAAGGGTGAGTGAATCCAACCTTGAACCATCACTTCTTGGCCAGCCCCAGAATTGCTGTTTCCTGGGGTAAGCCCATTTGATAGCCAAAGGGGAAGCAGACAGGAGGGACTGCTCTAGGAGGGAGAAAGAAAATCAATAAAAATGTAAATCTGGTTGAGAAAAGCTGTCCCAAGCTGGCTGTGGGGAGAGATAAGACTGGGCTGGCTGAGCCCTGGCTGACAGTGGAGGAGAGATTGGGGACAACGGAGCTGCGGCCAGGGTAGGGCAAAGGAGGTATGTTCCTTCCTCTGTTGTCACTGCCCCCTCCCACCCTGATGCTCTCTGTGTTTATGAAATTTTTTCTGGGACAGAAGGAGAAGGGAGCTTACAAATCCTGATCATCAGGTGTGGTGCCTGTGAGCAGGTACATGATCTTACCCGGTCCTCACAGCTTCTGGGAGATAGGAGCTAGGCATGCTCAACCTCACTTGCAGGTGAGCAAACTGAGGTGCAGAGAGGTTAAATCATTTGTTCATGGTCACACTGTAATAAGTAGCAGAGTCAAGATCTCATCCCAAGCCTGACTCTCTCCACAACTCTATAATCTTTTCACTCCATTAAGGGCTTTTGACTGGGGATCTGGGATTCTTAGGAGGTCTACACCCAGGCATCAGATGGTCTTCAACCTCTGAAATCAAATGCACAATTGTGTATTTGTCTGTGTGTGTGTTTTGTTTTATGTTTAGTGGACAGTCTATGTCTTTGATCAGATCCCCAGAGGTGGTTGTCACTTGCCCCCCATTGCCTGTACCATGTTGCCTTCCTGGAGTTGGTGGCCTTTGAGCTGGGCCTGGAAGATTGAGTAGGACTTTATGAAGTGGGGATGGAGAGACAAGCAGTGGGGTGGGGATGAAGAAGATAACCCAGGTTAGAGGGAACAGCATAAGCAAAGGTATGTGAAGGGGAAATAATTCAACACCTCCAGGCAATGGTGAGGATGTCCATGAGTTCTCTTTCACTTATGTGCATGTCAGTCATGACCCTTGGAGGCCAGCTCATGATGGGTCATCTGCCTGCCCTAGAACTGACCAGCCTCTAGCATCCCAGACCTTCCCAGGGTCTACAAGAAAAGAAACCTCAGGCCTAGGCATCAGGATGTCAGTTCTGGTCTGAGTCCTGTCCTCTGCTGACTTTACACTGGCACAATCTAGCAGGGAAACTTAATGTCTTCTCCTCCCAGGTTCCTGGTACAGGGTAAGAAAGTAAGCTCACAGATGCAAATGCTTGCGACTCTTCATTGACCAGAGGCTATATTAGGGGAGAGGACTTCCCTGGGGTCCCCACAAGGCCTGGAAAACCCCTCTGGCCCTGACCTGCTCCACCCCTTGGCTCTCGACCCTTTTCTGTCTTGGGTAACTCCTGAGTCTCTTCACCATGGCCAGTTTGGAAGACTTTAGGCACAAGGACCTCGTCTTTTCCTTCAGATCTTGGCTCAACAAAGAGGCGGACTCACCGTGATATGGATACAGCTTGAGCGTCCAGGAGTCTCCCCAGATCCACGGGAGGGCCTCGGTGGTGTGTTCATGTTGTCATATTTTTGTAAAATTTGCAAAGATAAGATACTTTAACCACAGTAGAAATTACTATTTTCTTCCCACTCCAGCTTCGTTTGTGTTTCAGTTTTCCTTTATATGGGATAATTGGAGTGGCCATGGGCACTTCTGGGATCTGACCAAGGGGAAGCTGAGTGGGGGACTGATTTGAGTTGGGTTCATTAGGACATGTTTATGTGGTCCTCTGAAACACAGGATGTATTAATATTTATGTGGTTCTCTGTGTATAGATAAATCATTGCTAGCAATCTCTGTGTAGAGAATAGCTTCTAGGAATTCTACCCACTGCCCAACTCACTTGGCATGGTGATATTAAGTTGCCATATCGTGACATGAATGTGTCTCATGGCACCCAGCCCAGGAAGTATATGGTCAGTAGAGAAGAAACAGGAGAAACCAGGCTTGAAATGTACAGAGCCAGAAGCTAGTCTGTGGAAAATTCTTCTAATCATCGGGGGAGAAAATGTGTTTTAGAGGTTATGCAGGGCAGTTAATAAAAGTATTACGCATTTTTGGGGGATTGTGTGATGTATCTGTTTTGCATTCTTTTCTCATTATAGGTAAATATAGGTACTTTGTACCTAATTTTATGTTTATAATTTTGTATATTTTTCTTAAAGAGGGCTCCTCAAATTATAAAACCTTCAGTTCCCACAAGGTCTTCACATCCAACCTTGGCTCCATCATTTATTTTCTGTGATCTTGGGGAACTCACTTGTGCTTTCTGAGCCAGTTTCCTCTTCTGAAAAATGTGAATGATAATTTGGACAGGTGAGGATTGAGAAATCCTCGTGACCTTATTCCATTTTTGAAACCATTAGTAGAAGAAGTCACTCAGTCAAACAAAAATTAAACCAGAATATAAAGATAGGAAAAGATGTAATATACAAGCAATAACGGTGAGCAATGAATCCAGTAAAACTTAAATCTAAGTTAATGGAAATGATGTGGTTGTTGCAAACCTCTAATGCAGTTTATAAAGAAAGAATTTTTGTAATAGAAGAGACATTATGCAAGAACAAATTTAATAATAAGCTGTATCTATAATTCCAGACTTTTTTTCCCCTGCAAAACCTGGGAAACAAGAGGGATGAAGGAATATAAACATCCTAAAAGCCTCATATTGTTGGAGACTTTGAAATTCTTGGCATTGATACATACATGCTTAGATATTTGTTAAACATTTACAGATACCAACCAGCAAAATAAAAAGGGAATTGGAACTTCTCTACCTCCCTTTTCTTTTATCACGTGGAAAAATCTCAAAGCCCTGGCACTGGGAGCTGCTCAGAAGGCAAGGGCCACATGTGACCCCAGCTTCCCCCCACCCCAAGCACAGGGCCATGAAGCCACTGCTGGTGGCTCCCTATCTGCTGCCTCCCAAGCAGCAGGTCCCAGTGAGGTGGGGTGGCAATAGGTTGGGCCGGGAGCAGATTAATAAACTCTC